GCCAGGTGGGTGACGAAGGAGGACACGGCGCCCTCGGCCCCGGGGGCAATGTTCCAGAAGAAGGAGTGGCTGTCAATCTGCAAGCACAAACACACAGGGACTCTGTGCTGGGAAAGCAAAGCCAGCACTCTCTGTCTCTCCCTGATCCCACCTCGTCCCGTCGGGAAGGGAAGGACCGAGTGGATGGTGAACCTGAAATGATGATCGTGCTGCTGTGGCAGGCAGGGATTTATGGGGTGGTTGGGCTGGAAGGGACGTGAAAGATCATCCAGTGCCACCCCCTGCCACGGGCAGGGACACCTTCCACTGGCCCAGGTTGCTCCAACCTGGCCTGGGGCACTTCCAGGGATGGGGTAGCCACAGCTTCTCTGGGTAACCCATGCCAGGGCCTCCCCACCCTCACAGGAGGAATTCCTTCCATATATCCAACTTATATTTCCCCAAAATTTGAGCCTTGAGGCCTCAGAGCTTTGCCATGGACTATTTCTCCTCATCTGCTTCCACCAGCGAAGAAAATGCTGGAAAAAGTCTCCCACAACAAGATGGAAAGACCCGAACTGTGGATGTCCCTCCACTGCCCCAAGGGATGGAGCCACTGCTGTATCCCCAGAACACAGCAGCCAAAAGGTTTGGAACGTGGCAAGAAACCAAAATACACAACAAAAATATCCCCATGAGACTGGGAACTCCCAGATTCCCAGAATTCTCCCAGCCCAAGCTCCACAGAGCAAGACTAAGAGGTACCCACTCGTGTGGCCACCATGATAACCTCCTTCTCAGGGTCCACCTTTCCAGAGGAATTGATGGGCTGCAAAGTGCTCCACACGTTGTAGTCGAGGAGAGGGTCACACACGATCTCTGGGAAGCAGAAAAGGAAACATTCCTGGAGTTGGGATCACAGCAGTGACAAGTGAGAAACGAGGGTTTTTTTTTTTCAACCCGGCGTTTAAGTCAACGAGCAAAAAACTCTGCTTTGCACCAGGGAGGTCCTGGCTCCAGGGAGGTCCTGGCTCCAGGGAAGTCCTGGCTCCAGGGAAGTCCTGGCTCCAGGGAAGTCCTGGCTCCAGGGAGGTCCTGGCTCCAGGAAAAGCTGTAATTCCCCAGGGATTTGGAGCTGAGGATGGGAGGGTCTCACCTGGGTTGATGCTGAAGGTGCTCTGGAGGGAGCTGCGCCTCATGCAGGTCACGGTGCTGGTCACGGCGTGCATGTGGGAGAAGAGCTGCATGGCACACAGGGGGTACTGGGGGGCAGAGCCGTCCCTGGGCACGTTGTGGTCCAGGTAACACTGGGGGGGAGGAGAATCTCGGCTCAGCTCAGCGTTTTTGAGGCACAGGAAACGGGATTTGTGGCGCTTTCACCCCGGGGAGCAGAACTCCAGCCCCTCCCTCCTCTCTCTCCCCCTGCCTGCTGAGGCACCTGTTTGATGACTTGGGTCTCGTTGGCATCTTCCAGGAGGAAAATGGGGAAGTCAAAGTCCTCGTAGGAGATGCCACTGCCCAGGGGGTTCCACACGGTGGTGTTGCAGTGGGCGAACTCGGGGCCGTAGTCCTGGGAATACACACCTGGGAACAGAGAGAACGGGCACACCTGAGCCTGCAGGAGGGGAACAGAGCTCAGGGACTCTGGCCTTGCACAGTTCCAACCCTCTGCCACGGGCAAGGGCACCTCCCACCAGCCCAGCTGCTCCAAGCCCCTCTGTTTGTGTCACTGATGACGACACTGGTCCCAGTTCGGCCCCTGAGGGTCACCACTGGGCCCTGATGTCCAGCTGAGCCTCTGGACGTGACATTCCAACCACCCCAACCACGTTTTTCACCATCTGACAGCCCACCCACCAGACCCATCCCTTTCCTGAGCCCATCCTGTGCTGGGAGAATCCCAAAGGGCTCAAAGTGTCTCTGCCATTCCAGCTCCCCTGAGATCCCCTGCGCTTCCTCGGAGCATCCAAGGAAAAGGCACCACCCCTCCCTCCCCCCAGCAGGGATGAAGATGGGACATCTCCTCACCAAACCCATCGTTGGGGCACTTCAGGCCAGGGGAGAAGCCCTGGGCAGGGCTGGGTTTGGCAGCGGCCACGGCAAGGCCGGACACCCGGGAGGTCCCCTTGAGCTGCAGCAACACCTTCCTGGAGGAGAGAAAACAGCCCAGGAGTCAGGGGTTCCTCGAGGAAGAGCTGCAATCCCAGACAGAGGGATGATGATGATGGTGAGTTACAGCCGAGCCTGTGATCAAATTAACCTTTGGGTTTTATCTCACTGTGCAAAAAAAAGCAACAAGGAGAAAACCTCGGCCCCGTCCTTCCTGCTCTGCCCAGGGAGGGGAGGGACCACTCTGTGCTGGGGTTCAATGGGCTGCAATGCCAGGGCTGTAATTAAATTAGGGACTGTTATTTAATGTGGAGGTGAACAGGGTGTGAGGATTCACACAGAGCAGAGCTCTTTTCACAGCAAAGGCAAGAAGGAAAAGTCACTAAAGCCCAGTAAAAAAACCACTAATGGTTCAACCTCACAAGGACTGGCTGCAGGCAGAGCTGGTTCTGTCACCTGTCAGTCAGAAAATGACATTTAATCACCAGATCAGAGACCCCTGGGCTCCCTGGGGGGATAAAAGCAGGTGCTGACTGACCTGTTGAAGAGATTCCCATCCAGCAGGATCATGTAGGGTGGGTGAGGACCATCGGCCAGGACCCACTGCAGGTCCTCCTCCTTCTCCACCACGTGGATCACCCCCGTGTCCCCGCTGATGGAGGCTGTGGGGTGACAACGGGCCCTTCAGGGCATTTGTTTCCTTCACACCCCCAAAAAAACCACCCTGGAAAGCAGGGCAGGGCAGTGTGCACAGGGCTTTAGGGAAAGGCAGCTCCTGGGATTAGGAGGGGGCTGGAGGAAGGAATTTGGGGATGGCTGAGCAGGACACGGTGCTTTTAAGTTGGGAAAATCCAGCAGAGAGGAAGAAATGACCTCTCAGGCTTTGAAAGCACCTTTTGTTTGAGCTCCTCAAAGGACCTTCAGCCATCCAAGCACCGAGTGTCCCGTGACTGAAGGGAATGGGAAGGACAGCAGGAGCCCAGGCCCAGCTTAGTGCTGCTCCTAAGCCAAGGGGACAGTGCCAGGCTCCTCCCAGGACAAGGAGTGATGTCCAGAAACTAAACCTCCAGGAGTTCCACCTCCAAATGAGGAAGAGCTTCTTTCCATGGAGGGTGGAACAGGCTGCCCAGGGAGGGTGTGGAGTCTCCTCTCTGGAGACATTCCAGCCTCACCTGGATGTGTCCCTGTGTCACCTGCTCTGGGTGACCCTCAGAGGTCCCTTCCAACCCCAATCCTACTCTGGGATTCTGCAAAGATGGACAAACCACTTCCAGAGTAAAGATGGACAAACCACTTCCAGGGCAAAGATGGACAAACCACTTCCAG